GCTTGACAATGTCCTCAGCTTACCGGTCAGGCTGTGGTAATAAAACATCTGGTCGAACTCTGATTTGCACTTAATCTCTCGCTCTCTCGCATTAGAAATAGAACATCCAACGTGTGAGGAATTCATTAGTTTTTCGTAGTAACAATATCTATACTAGCACGTGAACATTGAAACAGTCAGTTTAGAGGCAACGAATAAAATGTCACAGCATAAAGTATGGCATGGATGCTCATCACAATGCAAAAATATTTATTTGGGGAAAAATGTATCTATAAGCGATCTGCCGAGGAAACTCCGACCGCCAGCTTGATATGGAACAGACTTTAGAAACAAATCTGATAATGGCTTAAGCCGAAAGCTCCTTGCACATTTTCTAGATAATTTTCCAAAATAAATATTTTGACATCGTTACGATCATACATAACCTTAGCATTTATCACCATGTCATCCATCTTCGAACACAAAACATCATCACTATTTAACACTGGGTGGCATAATACGTGGCACAGAAATTCCACATGTAAGGGGGATGAGAGAGCATCAGTATTCGTTTTTATTTATTTTATTCTATCAATCTATCTATGCATCTATTCATGCTTTTTATGGCTCGTGTCAGTTCAGAGACGTGAACCAATGCTTCGAAATATATTTAACACCTCAATGTATAGTTCTGTGAGTTGGGCCATTCAAACTTCTGCAAGCCTAAAACACTCCCTATAAAGGCTATAGCACGTTCTGTCATCCACCCCTGCAAGCAACAATACACTAAGCCAACTATTTGATCGATAATTCAAATCGCGATGAACCGCTACGCGCAAGCGGCGAATAGCTGTCTCCGGGCGGATACTGCCACCGGCCGCCATGTGCTGCCAAATACAGGGTGCTAGTTTGGCACAATCAATGTCCCTAGACTTATCTTAGCTAAAGGCCCCTTGGCTAGACTTATCTAGCAAAGGGGCCTATAAAGAACTTATCTGCGTAGGCTGGTAAAAGTAGTGACTGGTATTGGAATCGAGCTTTGGAGGGCTACCATTTGAAAATTAGGTCAAGAATCGTTGAGCGAATCGCACAGTGTGATGTCTACTTCAGAAAACGTGCGCTCTGCCAAAGGCCGTATGAGAGGCTCTGCCCTCCCTCCACCGTAGGCGTATTGACATGGGCAGACGGCAGCACAGTCAGTATCGTCAGGAGAGTTGAAATCGCTGGGGTAATGTCCCCGCGCTGCAGCGCTGCAGGGAGTTCAATGCATGGTTTTTGGTCGGTCTTCAATGTCGTTCGCATCCACAGTGACCGCCAGACCACGAATCCGCATCCGCTTGTCTTCGCCTCACGCTTGCCAGGTGTCACTTCTTCCATGCATGCAAGATGTCATCCCATGTTACAGATAGCACGGGCCGACGAAGAGGCGGCTGAGTGCCATCGTATTACGCTAGTGGCTGCCAACGCGGCTTGCAGATATCCTTGAAAGTAGTCCAGCGCAGGAGCAAACAAACCGATGCGATAGTGTGCTTCAACCATCTCGTCTGCAAGGACGGAAGGCATAGCGGCGGTGCGGTGCGTATTGCGACCCGATGCAACGTGCGGGCGGGCTCAGCGCCCAGCGGTGTGTCACAGTGTTTTACTGCACTCCTCCGCCTCACCGAAAATGCTGACCAAGGTTGGACCATTGGTTGGGCCTTGATAGGACCTTGGGCGAAGGCGATGTCTTCTGCTCTCAGCTTTTGCACCACCGCAGTGACCGCTCGATGAGCTGTATGGATGCCATGAGCTTCGCTCCTTTTCCTGCAAGGCTCTGCGAAGTGGCAGGAGAATTCCCGGCAGCTTCAGAAGAATGTGTAGGCTAACCAGTATCTCCGACTACTCCAGTGCAGCTCCCCGGAGCTTGCTTTGTCGTCTGCTCACTCCGTCATGTCTCACAAGGCAGCAGCGACAGCTGGAATCTGTTCCACAAAGCGCTCGATGGTAGTATACCGTTTCAAGAATATTATCGGACACATATTCAAGAGTTTTTGACGAAGCATATCGAGCTTATCTTAGGTACGTCTAAGGGCCTCATGGCTCACACCGCTTACGGCACCATCTCTGACAAATGCTAGAATGACTTCGAAGCGCGCTTCTTGCCCCACGGATTTCGTCACCTTCGATGTCGAAAGGTTGAAGCCGTGAGACGCGCAGTGGAAATACTCAGCCTGCGATGCGACCTTCTTAACCTCGGCAACAACTCCCATGCATTCTCTAGACATTGCTGTCGTGCCTAGTGCGCTGCAGGTCTGCCTTCTCCTCGCATCCCACCACCGAAGTTAACACCACTAATTTGTGTCTCCCTACTCACGTTCATTTCGTCTAAAACATCCAAAAGAACCACCGGGTCTTCCCCTGATACCAAAACCTCCCTCATTAGCCTCGGCCAAGTATCAAATGTTCGGCATCGGCTGTTCTCTTGCTGCCCGATCGGCGGTTTCGTCAGCACTTAGGCACCGGAATGGAGACTTGTGGCAGCAAGCTACAGTCGCTTCCTTAATCGTGTCCCTGTAGACAGAGCAAGAGTCGTGGGTTGTTTTTGACAGATAAGTCGTGTTTCTGGGGACTTCCCTCACGTGTGCTGCTAGGCTGGCGTCACCGCCACGAATTCCAAGCCGCAAGAGCATTATTATTCCTCATGTTCCAATCATTTGTAGACGGATAAGCTCCGAACGATTCAATGGATCCATCATCCTGGTGGTCGCGAAAGCGAAAGGCATGTTCTGGAGTGCCGCAAACTACGGTTTCCACGACCGACGCCAACGCCTCTGAAGCTCTTTCTGTCCCGCTGCTCACGACAGCATTTATTTGACCTGCGATCCTTTTCTGTCCCTGTCACCCTTTTAAGAACTCATCCGCGCGTGGTTGCTTTTCTTTGTGGAAAGCCGATTCGTCATGTAGTGTTAGATCGTCACGGGTACCAGTGAGATTCTTGAAATCCTGCAATGGGTAGCGGACCAGGTTACCCATTGACTGGCCTCGGTTTCCACATTATCCTCTCTCTTTTCGCACATTGAACAACATGCAGCTGCTGGTTGCTACACCAGGCGTTTGTGTTCCGTATAAGATATGGCGAGCCACTTAAACTGGTCAAGGTGTTTTGTGCTGCATGATCTTCATGAGCGAAGGACCTTACCTATTATGTGCTGACAGTCGGAACTTCTTCACGGCGAGAGGGCACCAACTCTCTTTTTCAGATCACTGAGTCGGTCACTGTCGGTTAGTCGTGAGTGCACGTTTACCAGCCTGCCAATGTCCTTCATGTCTGTCTGGTCACTGCGGCGGGCAATTTTGGTGTCCACTGCTTCAGGCGACGAGGACGTACCAATATCGCTCTCTTGTGTGATTTGCTGTGCAATGCATCTCCCGACTCCCTGTTCCTCAACAGCCATGTCAACAACTGGAACTAATAATGTTTTTATTCAGCTCCTGGGAGATGAGGATGTGGAAATGACGTAAGTTAAACAAAGACCGGCGTTTTTTCTCATATCCTTTTCCACCTGAATTAGTCGGTGGCCCCTTTTTCTTTCCATGCTTCTTCGCTCAACAATGTACACGATGACAAGGAAAACAATCGACAGGATTTGAGAGCAGCCTGAAAGGAATATGGGGATCCATGATACTGAAGATCAATCAAACATTCCTGGTGCTTGTAAACTGATAATGGTGAACAGATACATGATGCAATAAAAGGCAGAACAAGTCCAGGAATTTCGTTCGCCAATTTTACCGTCCTAACTCCTACTCCGCGAATTAAAGGGACTGTCCCACCTTTGCATTAGTTCTGAGTTGAGATAGCCAAGTTGGCGGCCAGGTTCAGAAACCACTATATATCCTGGTCACAATATCCTCAGTTTCGTGGTGTTAAAGAAATTCGTTCCCTTCATTTGAAAAGTGGGCCTTAGCTAAGGCCCTATCTCTTAACTATTAACGGCCATTTGATGACGTCATTTGCATTTTGAACGCCTGTCACGCATGTGAAGTTTCACTTGATTTACGAATAAGCTAATCAGAGACACTTGTTATTGTATGAGCCGCGTCATATTTGAGAGCAAATACCTATATTTGCTGCCAAATTTCCCCCACATTGACATGAAGTAAATCCTTCATTACGTCACAGATCCGATCTAAATGACGTCACGATGAAATATAAAAGTCGCAATATCTCAAAAAGTATACAATGAAAACGCGTAAAAACTTGCAGAATTCGTCACAATATCATGAGTAACATTTCCGAATCCTAAATGGTACTTTTTTGAAGGTGGGATAGTCCCTTTAACAGTAGCTTCCATTCGGCTTTGCCCTTATCAATATAAGAAACATGCCCCGCATCGCTGTCAGCTTTGGCGTCAATTCAGCCCCCTCCCCCGCATTTGCTGACATTGGCAGTTGTATTTTGCAATTGATTTTACCCAGAGGTGTAGCGAAGACGTGTTAAAAAACCTACATAGGAAGATCTATATACAATGGAAATGGGCCATGCAAACTCTACGCATCAGCCCTGTGCTGATCTCATCCTGAACCATCTTATTGCCAATCCCTTTAAGCTCCCCAAAGCTGATTCAAGAGGAAAAAAAAGGAGCACAACTGACCAAACGTTCATCAATGTTCGTACCTACATACTGTTTACCGTGTACAGTGTACCTCTACCTATGCATAAGAATTCGAATTTCTGTGTATCTGGCTTCTTTTGTAAATAACTAGTTAGAGAAAATAGTTGCTGTCCTTTTCAATCGCTGTTATTGATCATCCGGCGCCATGCAACCCAGTAGCCACCATCCATCAAGCCTTCGCCGCTGTCGGTTGCGTCCAGTCCCCACTGCCATTTTAGCGAACAATAGCTTCGTTCCCCTGCCGGCCGTCCTATCCCTGTTTATCAATACCCTCACTACGCGGCGCTGCGCGCGCGGCCCCGCCAGTCGGCGCGCTACATCATCCGGGACCTTTGGTCACGTGATCGGCGCGCCGGCGCCACAAACGCAGTGTGAAGCGGAGTGCGGAGGGGAGACTGCACGCGCGGAGCTCCTGCGAAAATCAAGAATATTGGCGGAAATCGACCGAGTTACGCCTGTGGCTGTATACCAGCACCTAGCGCTTCTTTCAAGGTATGTTCTGGTGTAATTTGCTAGTCTGTATCTGTAGCGGTTTTGGAGAAATATGTGTTTTCTAGGGCTGGGTTTTAGTGCGGGCTGAGATTGGGCGCAAGATGGCGCCGGTCCGCATCAAAGCCAGCGCCTGGTCCCGTGGTCGCTCCGCGTGGGGGGGGGGAGGCGAGGGAGAGGGGAGGGGTAGGAGGGTAGCACCGGGGTGGTTTGGGGTTATGAGCGGGGAGTCTGATGGTGTGGTGCTGTAGGTTTTACGGCTGATTGTGTGGTTATGTGGGGGAGACCAGGTGGATGACGCAGTGTGGTAATTTTATGGCCGCCTTGGCCGGCGATGAAGGTGAGCATATGAGGGGATTACTGCCCCTTTAGCACCTTCCGAACACCTTCATCAGTGCTGCTGTGTTGCCACTCCCCTGTCCCCCAAATGGTTTCGACGCTATGGGCATTTCCTGGGTGTTGTTTTTATGAAACCGGACACAACTATCTCTGACGTTTCTACACTAACAAGTCTCAACGGATACGAATCTGTGCCTTCTCGTCACGCACTGAAGTGACATTTTATAAGGCTTCTTTCCTACGAACTAGCACACTCATTCAGCTTCAATGAAACGTCACATTGGAAAACTTCAGCAAATCTACAAGCCGCAATGTCCGTTTTGTCCACAAATGCAGGCACCGCTTGCGTTGCACGGACATTCGTCAGCGCTTGGTTGTCTTCCGCTGAACCACATAGACTGCGGAGAATTGCAAATTGCAGTTAATCTTTCAGTGTCAACAGTGTCTACAGACCTATACACAGTCACAGACCAGCTTATTGTGAAAACGCAAACAATAAAACGAACTACAAATACAAATGACTCGGCAACAGTCACGAAACCTAGGAAGTTTCGGAACATGAAGGCCTATAGCGGAACTTGAGCACAGTTCGCACTTCACAGAGTCAGAAGTAGAACTCACGGACGGAGAGGAGAAACAGTTTGGAAACACATGCCAACTCAGCTTCGAAACACAGTCTGATATAGCTTCGACACACAGGCAGACGTAGCTTCAAAACACAGTGTGGCCCAGCTTCGACATACAAGCTGACATAGCTTCGACACAGAGGTTTGTTGTGCGAAACAGGCTGACTGCTCGGAACACCAACGGACAGAATAACCGTACACAGACTGACTGAGGGCTGGAACACAGGCTGGCAATGCGACGACGCACAGGCTGACTGAGAAACACCAGCTGTCTGATTCAGAGTAGACTGTCTGAGTGATAGACTGGGTGGTCAGAGTGACTGCCACTGAAAGCCTTATGACTGACTAAGATCTAACTAAACTGTTTGAGAGCCATCCTGAACGAGCAATGGATTGACTGGTCATAGTCAGACTGTCTAAGCTCACACTGACTGAGTGACAGACTGCCGCGAGAGACAGATCGGTGGAGAGTCACCCAGTCTGAACGCTGACTGGCTGAACACCAGCATCGGATGACTGGCGACACAAGTGTATAGCGACACCCAATGAGCCGGTTGTCGGAATGTGGCTGGCTGGATTCCATTCCCGGCTGTTTTCCTTAGAAGTACCGCCGTCGCCGCCGAGGAATAAGGCGGTGGCGGGACGGGATGCAGTGGCGGATCCAGGGGGGGGGCTGCGGGGGCTGGCAGCCCCCACCCAAGGAAAACTGGCGCCACTGCGCCGAAGGCGCAGTGGCGCCAATTTTCAATTCGCAACTCATCGGAGTGCCGCATACTAGTGATACTAGGACTAGGATGCAAAAATCAGTCGAATAACGTCGTTTCAGTACGCTCCGCACCGATATTTCCAATCGTGTGGTGTCACTGTACATACTGATCCTGGGCGCCTCTTGTCAGGGCCACTGGGCGCCAATATTTCAGCGCCAATACGATGCGACTATGGCGCCCATCCGGGGCGTGGCGCCCAATTATGACCTGCAGCCCCTCCCCAGTGAAAATCCTGGATCCGCCACTGACGGGATGGTGTGCAGAGTATCTGCAGATAATTGGAGAGAAGTGAAAGAACTCTACAAAAACTTGTGTTCGTCGGCTGAACGCTTCTTCCAGGCCGTGAAAGTTTAAAGCATTCGAAACGCAGCGCATTTATTCAAGTTGAATTAAACTTCCTGTTTTTTTTTTCTGCGTTTGGATGCTATACCAGCCTCAATTATGATCTCCTGCTGATATGACCTTTCCAAAGATGAACAGGGACTTATATTGAAAAAAATGAAGATAAGGTCATGCCATGGCTTTAATGCAGTATGCGGGTTTGTCAGTGTTATGAGATACCTCCTAACTCATCTGTTTTTAGTTGTAGCGAAGGGTTACCGTGACTAGCATAGCCCAAATCGGTGCCTGTCATATTGTCATCGTCATATCGTCAAATATTGTCATCGTTTGTCATTAACCACACTTATAAGGGACCAGATTCAGCACGATTTATTTCAGACCATCTTGTTTGTATGTCGTATTTTGATGAACCGTTTTTCGATCATGGGTCGGTGGGTGCATGCTGATGCATCTGTCGTCATGATGTATGCATGCATGACTGCATGTATCATGAAACCAAATGTGCCCGATCCGATCCGATCATCAAATCAAATGGGCGCCGATGACCACTGTAGTCCGGGCGCCCAAAACCCCCAATCCATCATCATCATCGATCAGCAAATCAACAAATGGCACCATCCAGTGACAGTTCTCTTCTCGTAAACGCTGCAACCTGTTGTCACATTTGCTTAGCTTTGACAGCACACGCCGGCGATGCCCAGTGCTTATGTATAAGGTGGCAGCTTACAGTGACCTGTCGTGTGGGCGCCAGCAGCTCGGTTCCGTCGTGACTCGCCTGTGACACGGAACACGGTCCGTTGTGACTCGCCTGCGACACTGCACGGTCGCGGCCGCACCTGATCCTCGCCCACCTGTTTGTGCACACTCTCCGTTCACCTGACACCGCGGCTGGAACACGTGTCGTGCAGTGCCAGACGCGGTGGCGCCCAAAGCCGGGCGGTGACGCGGCTAGTGCACACACTGCACAGTGCACTGGTGCCTGGTGTAGCGTGTTCGCCGCCAGGCCCATCCTACGGTGGTTCACAGGTGCCGTCGGGAGAACGGAGAGTTTCCACCACCGGATGGGACACTCCGATCGATCATCCGTGTCGGCCGGCTCCCCCGCGGTCCGGGCCAGTCGCTGTCAGTCGGGACTTCCAATTACTCCGCGCTCAGTCGCGTTTCCCCGGCTGCCGATCCGCCATCGAGCGGTGACATGTCGCGTCGATATCACCCGGTGACATTACATCGGTGATCGATGCGCCTTCGTGGCTCACGCGGCGACGAGATGGGTTTCGTTGCGCGGCGCGACGAGCGTGGCGAGCCTGCGGCGGTCAACGTACCCGCTCCGCCGCCGCCGCCGCCGCCGCCGCCGCCGCCGCCGACCGGTGCACGCCGGTAAAAAAGCGTCGCCGCCGCCGCGGCCTGGCGACGAACAATGGCCTTTCGTGAGGAGCGTCCGGCGCCGTGGGCCACTCTGGCGTCGTCGTCACGGACGGTGGCTCCCACGCCAGCGCGCCAGATGCGGCGCAGATCTCGCGCCGCGCACCGGCCACACGTCACGAGCTCCGACCGTTTCGCAATCGACTGCAGCGATGGCCTGGCGCGATACGGTTTGTTCCTGAGGCGCACACTGAGGGTGGAATCCTCAATGTGATGTGGCAAATAGCTGATGTACGAGTATGTAAACTGCGATGGTGTGATGACCTTTCCTAGCATCACGGTAAACGAATTCAGATTATCGTGCACATTCCAGAACACATTCCTTCCAAATAACCCGTTCTTACATAAATAAATCATTCCAAGGGCCTGGTAAGAGATGACACTTCCCTAGCATGCTAGGCTCATGATGTAATCATGCTAATCAAGTCTATTACTACACAGTTTTCCATTACGGTGTGATATCTGCTCCCTGCCTGACGCCGACGACCCCTTTCCCTCTGTCTGCAGGGCAGAAGAGGCGCGCAATGGCAGCGTCGGGCGAGACGCGGCAGGAGAGGGCCGTGGCTCTGTCGGAGCTGACGCCCCATCTGGTCTGCCCCCTGTGTGGCGGATACTACGTGGACGCCACCGCCATCGTTGAGTGTCTGCACACGTGTAAGTATGCAAAATGGGCAATGGCAGATCGTGGATCGCATGCTGCTGTATCCTGGATCGCATGCTGATGATGCGTTGCCGAGGACTAAACGAGCATCACTTCATAAAGACACTAGAAATGTAGGAACGTTGAATGTAAGCTATTCACAGCTTCGTTGGTGTCGGTCTTGTGACACGTGAACACGTCGTTTCAGTTTGCCGGTCATGCATCTTGCGTCACCTGGAGACAAGCAGTTACTGTCCTGCTCTGACCTGTGATGTCATGATTCATCGGACCAAGGGCGCCATCAGTCTGAGGTGAGGCCAGTCCCAGCTATCGTCAAATGTTAGCAATATATTGTATAGCTTGGCACTGCTTTTCGCCGAAACGGCGTTCAAGGGACTGTTAGGCGGGGCGACCGAAAGTATGTGTTAAACACAACCTCGTCATAAAGTACTAACGTAGTAAATACTTAATACTGAATAACCTAAAGGATTTGGTAGCCTGAATGGATCTGGTGTTTTTGTCGCTACAGAGCATCCATTCCGGTCCCGGTCCCGGTATTGGACCTCTGACCCTCGGCATCTAAAATGTCTGTTGTCGTAGGCTAACATAAACCACATTCCCCTCTATGTTTTCATTGGCCTTTGATAAACAAACTCTCCGCCTGTGGTCTGCCGTTTTTCTACAGTGATGACCACCAGAGTTCAGGTTCTTATGCCACCCGTTGCAAATGGTATGGCATGTTTTGCCAGCGCCGAACTGTCGAACGTAATTGAGCGTCGGAAGATGTTCCGCCGCTCTGTCCACCTCACTGTTTGTTCTCTCTCTCTCTCTCTCTCTCTCTCTCTCTCTCTCTCTCTCTCTCTCTCTCTCTCTCTCTCTCTCTCTCTCTCTCTCTCTCTCGCTCTCGCTTTCGCTCTCGCTCTCGCTCTCGCTCTCGCTCTCGCTCTCGCTCTCTCTCTCTCTCTTCTCTCTCTTCTCTCTCCTCTCTCTCCTAATCTCTTTCTCCCTTCTCTCTCATCTTTCTCTCTCTCTTTCTCTCGTCTCTTGGCTCTTGGCTCTTGTCTCTTGTCTCTTCTCTCTCTCTCTCTCTCTCTCTCTCTCTCTCTCTCTCTCTCTCTCTCTCTCTCTCTCTCTCTCTCTCTCTCTCTCTCTCTCTCTCTCTCTCTCTCTCTCTCTCTCTCTCTCTCCCTCTCTCCCGTTCCTTCTCCGCCCCTCACAGTGTTATCCTTCCGGTTCCCTCCTCGATCAGTCCCTTCCTCTCCACTCTTCCTTCCTTCCCGTTTCGTACCTCTCTCAATTTACATCCACCTCTATCTCCCTCTGTCATTTATCTGAATCTGCGGAATACCGGACCCGGTTGCACTAAGCCATGGTTTCCGTTTCAGGCCCGACGCCACTCTGCAGAGTATCGTGTACAAAACGGTACCAGGCCTGCACCGTGATGAAATGCAGCGACGGCAGCTTTTCTACGCCGACAAGCCGGATGCCGGTCAGTGGAGCTGTGGTAGTTTTTGTTGTGTCATGTGTCATGCAGTCTGGCAGGAGTTCCCGTGCTTTTTATTATATGCGGGTAAAAGGTTCATTGCCATTTTCAGTGCACTTTGGAGTTTACAGGTTCAACATTGCCGGTTCTTTCACGTCATACATGTGACGTCTGAAGCATAAGCTGTGGGAAATTAGGACTAAACCATGCGGGCAGTTTGGGTTTGAGGTTACTTAAATATTCCATGACATGCGGATGTTTTCAGACGCGGAACTGGCACCGTCATCGAAAGGCTGCTATGAAGAGGGCGCCGGTCGGTATTACGCACCGGACGACACGATTGACGTGCGGATCCAGTATGCCTCTCACAAGTACGTCATCTGAATTTCTCACTCCACGTTTATCCTACCCTACATAAGTCTTCAATTTCAGCACACATTTCTGCATTTAATTTGAGTGTAATGATGCGTCTACGACACCGAACGATTTTCATTGCTGTGATTGAAAACAGAAAGTTAACGGCTATGCATCCTATTTTTCAGTCCGGAAGAACTTGTTCCTGTGCGTTACTTCCGCTGTCCGGCTGGACTGCCCTTGTCCACACTGAAGAAGCTGCTATTCCAGAAGTACGGTTTCTCAGACTCCCTTCAGGTGAGAACTGCTCTCAATATCAGCTGTATGAAAGATGTGATCTACAACAGCTGAGTGCAGTTGCATATTTTCCTAAGTCAGCTTGGCAGGGTCAACTCACAGGTCACGCTCCACGGCCTCTTAAACCTTGTGCTCGTAATATTAGCTGAGCACTGTGAACGATGTTTTTCCTGATAATCCTTTTTATCCTGGCCTGCCGTGATACTAATTGCGTCCTCACCATTACAGATGGAGCTGATCCATGGCAGGAAGGTCCTACCGGCCGACATCAAGCTGCTTGACGTCGCTTACATCATCAATTGGAGCAGGGTAAGTCCCGCAGCATACTCGCAGCAAGAGAAAGTTGATTATCATTTACTGGACACATGTACCTATGTCTTAAAGAAATATGTTCCTTGCATGTTTGGATATTCGTGGCATCTAATGGGTGGTCATTCTTGTTGTTAATAAGCTCAATCTTTTGCAGAAATCGGCATTAAAGCTGCTTTTTCGGATATCGAAACCAAAGGCCACAACAAAGCGAAAAGCCAGCGCTCCGGGTGAGACATCATCCCCCGTAGAGCCCCCGGAGAAGAAACTGAAGTCCGATGAGCAATCGTCTATCCTAAAGAATGACGCTAGGGTCAATCTGACTCCGAGCCAAGATGGTAAAACAGACAAGCAATCTGAGATAACCAAAAACAACAACGCGAAGTCGTCAGACTCTCCTGTGGCTCAGTCATCGACCACGCGCGTTTCTCCTCCCTCCACGGCGGTGCCCCCAAGCCCAAGAGTGACAGGCCAGTCTGCGAGCACGGCCGCCAAGGCGGGAGAAAGGCCCGCTAAGTCAGGAGAAAGGCCAAACACTCAGCCGAGGGTTTCACCGGCTCCCGCGAGCCAGAAAACGGCCCATCAGTCTCCCGCTGCAGCCGTGGCACAGTCCCCTAGAGCAGGAGTGCTGCCAAAGATGGACAACTCCGTTCAGAAGGCGACAGACAGTGGCCAGAAGCCAAAGACTCATCGGCCTGAACCTAGCCAGAAAACGACCATTGTAAGCAAAGGCCAAACGAACGGTTCAAATCAGGATGTAAAGACGAACGCGAAAATTCCGGCAGTCAAACTGAACCAAGTTGCGATTACATTGGGCCAAAAGATCCAGGTTCCTCCCTCTTCTCAATCCAATACCCCCGGCCAAAAGCCCGCCACTCCTCGGCCGCCGGGCACTCAGCTTGGCCACTCCTATTTAGCCTGCAAGAAGGCCATGAAGTTGGCCGCGTCGGCAGCAAACTCCAAGGCGGCCACCGTTCGGTCTGTCAGTGTAGGGAGCATGACGAAGAATGAACCTATCGATAAAAAGGTTCCCTCGGCGAACCCAGCGCCCAAAGCCACAAATGGTACGCTGCCGGGAACTAACAAGACAGACACGTCTACGGGAGCTTCGTCAGTGACGCCCAAACCCTCTGGAGTGAAAGGTGTGCCACCTTCGAAGATGGAGACTGGTGAAGCATCCGCGACATCCAAAGTCAAGCCTCTAGAGAAGAAACCGTCAGTGAGCAAGATAGACTGTTCTGTGCAAACAGTTCCTGTTTATAGGATTCATTCTTCTAAGCAAAATGCGGTAAAGGCAGGGAAAACCAATTCCAATGTAACTAACACGCCCTCGTCTGCTGCACGAAAACCATCTTCAGCGGAGGACAAGTCTGCTAAACCGCCAGAGAACGTGTCTAAACCTGCAGCTAAACCCGTATCACAATCGTCAGGTGATGCGAAGGAAAAAGCTGTAGCCAAAGTTCTGGTTTCTCGACCTTCCGCGGGAGTGCTCGACCTGTCAACGCACGCCAGAGAAACGTCCTCTGTATCAGGGATTAGCTCGACCAAAGACTCGAAGACAATTTTTGTGATCTCAGGTTCTAAAAGGCCGCCGTGCTCCAACAAAATTCAGTCAATTGTTGAGTCTCTAGCTCAAAAGAGGATGATGTCATCTCCTTCAAGCCAATCTCAGAGTGGTAGCGAAGCTTCAGCATCCGTTTCACAGGCCGTTTCACAGACCTCAACTGCCGTCTCGAAAGCTCCAGTAGTGACAACTAGCGTCACGTTTGTCGCTCCCAGCACAGTGCCGATCAGGTCAGCGGCCGTGACGCCCGTCCGCCCGGTATCCTCACCGCTCCACATTGAGACGGCCTCTCTGGGTCTGCGCTACGGCAGCGCCGTGCCGCCCCTGTCCAGCCTGTCCCGGCCGTCACCGTCCACCACCACCACCTCCTCGACCTCCTCCAGACCGGTGTTCCCCGTTCCTCCGCTGCCACAGAGGCCGAAGAGCCAGAACGTGCGCGCCATCCCGAACCCCTCGCTCCTTCGTCAGAGGTCTGCTGAGGAGCGTGCGCGGGACTCTGGCAAGGGCTCGCCGACGGCGGGAAGCACGGCCCCGGCCATGTCTCCGCCCACCATCAGGGACATCCACAGCCTGACGAGGCAGCTGCAGGAGGCCGGCACCTCTGTCACGATCACGAACACATCCTGATAAAGTCCTCTGGGCGAGCATTCTATGCGAACCGCAGGTCAAGGTCTCCGTCGCCGCTACCGGCACCATATGCTGAAACTGTTAACACTGAAGTGATATTTCCATGAACGGTGCGTTCAACTGTCTTCTTAGGAGGCTGAGCTGTCTCGTGAATCAGGGAACTCCTGAGACTGACTACGTAAATGCGTTTGCGCTTGATTGCTTATGCAGAGTAGTTTGTAGGCCCAGTTGTTTGCTCTGTATTTCCTTGACTGTGCCAGGAAGACGAGAAGCTTAAGCTCCTAGGTTTCTGAAAGCCCGCACGATGCGTGTCCGCCTATTGAATGGTCTGTCAAGTGGATGCTATCACATGTGTAGAATGTATTCCTTTATTGATGGGGTCAGGGGTGACCGTACAAGAATCGTTCGTTATTTTATTTATTTGATTTGGAGCTGTGCGCGCTTCCTGATGTAAATACAACCAATGGCAAAGTGTAAGAGATGCAGTACAGTGTTCTGTATGGCGTGTAACGTTGCGCATTCAGCAGTGTGTGGTCGATGAAAGCTTTAGACGTGAACGTTTGCCAACTCAGAGAGAAACCATTGACAAGGCTACTACTTGACTGTTGTATTCGATTTATCGCATGCATTGCTTATATTGAATAAGAAGGTCAGTGTTCTTTTTACAATTCCTCTTATGAGATTCATAAGGATACTACCGAATATGTTGCAATCAAATAAGATAAAAGACTTCCATTTTGATATAAGTTTGGCTGTAAAATGTGTATGAACATCAGGTTCTGCCGCTGAACCGGCCATGTGAGTCTTGTATTTAAGGTTACCTTCTTGAAATAGATCTGTTATGTGCAATTCCCTCAACGGATTAGATGTAGGTATGTAGTTCCTAAATGTTTGTGTGATGAAGCCTTCCTCCTGTAAGATAGTCTGTCGTGGTAAGATGCGTGCGGTTGCGATGTTATTGCGATTTTGTCGTTTCTTTTTATGTATTTAACTACATGATCTGTAACATTCTTGGGGTATTGATGTGAAGTCGCCTCAATGTATTTTGTTCCGTTAAAATACATGTGAGCAGCAATCCTTTGTGTGGAGCATGTGGGAATACCAATGGCAATATTCGCATTTCGCATCGCATGGCACAAATACGGATGGAGGTTGCATATATCGGCATACTATAGGTATGGACTCGCCACTGCATATCATATGTTTCAGAGGTTTGACGCTGTCATTACATACCTATCGCGCAAATCCAACTAATAAAACATTGAAGAGTCAAATACAGAGAGAGGCACGACGGAACATTCTCTGAACATATGTACAGTTATGATATCCACCCATGTGCAACTTAAAAGGCGCAGCTGATGGCAAGAGGCCGCTCGAAAGTCGAAATGTCACCTTTGGTCATTAACCCGCGCCCCACTGGGGTCTGCGCATAACGCGCCCTACTGGGGGGAGGGCTCTTCATAGCCCCCTTCCTAACTCCAAAACTACTGGGCTGATCGTCAAAATTCAAATGACGTCTGATAGTCCCGGAAAAACTGTCGAACGAAACCTAATTTCATTGACCTCGAGGTCACCGATGACGTCGCAGGTCAGGTCAAAGTAAAAATTTTCAATGTTTGGCTTGTTGTCATTTTGGGCTCTGCCCCCCCCCCCCCCCCTTACAATCCGGCTTACAAGTCGGATCAGGCTCATTTTTGGTTTACACACTGGTGAACAGATGCTTAGATACTCTGAAATTGCCAAATTGAAATTGAAATTGACTAAAAAACTGAAATTGCCTGAAAAATTGCCCAAAACACTTTTTAAATTTCAAAATTGAAAAAAAAAATTATTTCAAAAATGACGTGAAAGTGACCGTCTTCAACGTGTAAATGTAAAACGCTCTAGCGCAGCCATTTTTGAAGGAATCGACTTCAAATTTTGCACATGTGTTCATCAACCATATTTGTTTAACATATATTTCGGTTTCGTGAAAATTTTGAAAATTTCTTATATTTTTCTCTTGAGAAAGAGGTAAAACTTCGCTACGATCGGCCTTCCGATCGACCGATAAGATTCGTAAAGTTAGTTCGTATCTTCACCATTTGCGATACACAGGCATCGGTAAAATCCTTTTTGAAAGGATTGCATTCCCAATCCACATTCCTAGTGCCGAAGTGGATTGCATTCCTACCCGCAATCCCCTTTTTTCACTTGGATTGTGATCAAATCCGCAATCCTTTTTTGCAATCCTGTTGTATTATTATGTGCACTAGTGGATCTGGGGGAGGGAGGGGGGCATAGGGCCGTGCTTCCATCCCCAGATCACCCATTTCTAGTACCTAGTATTGCGAGTAATTCCTATCTAAGGCACAGGTATTTTATGGGAAATATTTTTGCCTTAAACACCCCCACATTTAAACTTCTACCCAACCACTGTTTTATATTTTTAAAACTCGCCCTCAAATACGTAATTTTGCCCTTCCTATGTAGTTCATCAGCGTATTTTATTTTGAGCGTTTAAATTAAAAGCGTTTAAATTATTTCAAGTTTCGATATAAAGCCCTTGATAGCAAAGTATGTACATTAGGCCGATGAAGCCGATCTCATAATTTTCAATCGCAACAAACCATTTCAAAGCACTAATCAAACACAATCCTGATTGGATTGCAAAAATTGGAAGTATGATGCAATCCAATCCGCAATCAAATCCTGTTTTTTGGAATGGATTTCAAATCCAGGTGCAATCCACCAAAAAGGAATGCAATCAGGATTTTGCAATCCTGCAATCACAATCCTACCGATGCCTGGCGATACAACTTGCGTACCTACTTAGCCTACGATGTGATGGATCCCTCCAATATCTGTTCCGATTCAACTTACGTTTGATCGCAACTGCGAGGTGCCTTGCGATCACATGGATCCCCCCAGCAGAGGGTATCAAACTTGTACTTTGATTTTCGGGTCAGGCCTCAGGGTCAGGTCATCACAGGTCACGGAAATCTTATATCATGCATCGGTCACGTGACACATGTTTTATAGTCCATTTAGGCCTGGAATTCGATGTCGTTTATGTCATTCGAGGGCATTTTGAGTTGAGTTTAGCTTAGGTCAGACCACGTTCAGGTCAAAAAGGTCAAATTTTAAAGTTAAAATTTTTCCACGAAAAGGTGTCTATAGCATGCAGATTGAGTTCAGGAACACGATGATGCTAATTATATTGGTGTACGATGTCACATACATACTGAAAAAATGATTTGAAAAATTTATAATTGTGAATTTTTGCTATAATGCGTATAACTTCGCCATTTTTGAAGATATCTGGCTAAAAGTTGCTAGAGTAAGTCATAAGTATATGTTTTATCACATTTATTCGTTTTTTTTTCTCCTCGAAAAGTTAGAAACTTTTTGAAAAAAGATAAAAATATGAAATTTAAATTTAAATATATATCAAAATTTTGAAAATCCGAGATAGCAGTTTGATGGCACAGTCTATTCTAAGTCCTCTCATGCAAAGAAATTGGATCTAGCTTAAAAACTGAGCTCTTGGGAGCGATAGCCGTGGTTCAATGTTTTGCGTCGAAATCGGCCGATCATGACGTCACTCTGACGTCACTTCCGGCCGACCTATGGTAGCTACGAAGGTCATAGTTTGACCCAAGGTGTCAAATTGATGCCGCCGGAGGTACTGAAAGTTTGGCGTCGATACGTCAAGCAGTTTGGAAGTTATTGCAGAAAAACGGGAGGGGGCTATGAATAGCCCCCCCCCCGTGGGGCGCGGGTTAAGGTCACCAGCAGTTTTTTCGATCATAGCTTTTGATGGAGACGTAGACAGACGTAGAGTGATGAAAGCGCCTGTAATGTGTTCAGCTATAAAAAATACGTATCGACCGGTTTGCGAATATCTTTCCCATTAAAGGGACTATCCCACCTTCTAAAATGTTGTTAAAACCAGTTAAATTGTGCCCGACTTTATAGATTGGATGACCAGGAACACGGTTCTGGCATTTATTTTTCATTAAACATCTTAGGCTTCCCATATTCCAAACACAAACTTTCAAATATGTGACGTCACAGCCCAAAATTACCTCCTTCCCCAGGCCACATTACTGTCATAAAGCTGATTCTTTTTACTCTGTAGGCACCACAACAAAGTTCAGACCAAGTTTTAAGCGATTTTTCAACGAACAAACCCATTTAAATCAGAATGACTAAACGAGGTGACGTCACACTAACGGTCGCTCCATGTTGAAGATAGGGCCTTGTACAAGGCCCATTTTCAAATGAAGGGAACGAATTTCTTCAACACCAAGAGGCCGCGGGGGTTGCACAGGGACGTCGACACCGGTCCGACTTTTCCGACTAGTCGGACCACTTTTTCGACTAGGCGGTGCCCTGCTGTGGCTCGCGGGGGCCCTGCTGCTGCGACCGCGGGAACCCCTGCTGTGGCCGCGGGGGCCCCTGTTGGGGCTCTCGGGGGCCCAGCTACGGCCACGGGGGCCCCTGCTGCGGCCACGGGGGCCCCCTGTTGGGGCTCTCGGGGGCCCAGCTGCGGCCACGGGGGCCCCTGCTGCGGATCGCGGGGGCCCTTCTACAGACCTTGGGGCCCTTCTGTAGCTTGAGGGTGCCCTGCTTCGGCACGTGAGGCCCTGCCTCGCCACGTTTGGGCCCATGGTTCGCCAGGGCCCTTCTGCGGACCGTGGGGCCCCTAGTCTTGCAGAGGGGCCTACTGTGGCTGGCGGGGAACCTGCTGCAGACCGCGTGAGGCCCTACTGCGACCCGCAAGGACCCTGTTGTGGCCCGCGAGACAAAACTGCAACTCAAGGGGCCCCCTGCTACGGCTCACCGGGGCCCTGCTGTAGGGGGGGGGGGTTGCTGCGGCCTATGGGCCCTTCTGCGGCACACGAGGACCCTGCTGCCGCCCACGTATTGGGTTTCTCACAAAGTGACATCAAAGCTTCCCTGGCCGGGGGCTGCCCCCTCCCCACTTTTCGTGACGTTCCTACACCCCTGGTCGACGGTATCAAGATAATTCCCTGTGCCGAAAAGGATAACATATAGTGTCACTACTCTAAAACAATGTATTAAAAAAAAATGTCGACTTTAAAAACAAGAGTAATTTTCAACATTGGTTTAAAAATTAACAAAAGGATCATGTATTGAATGACAATGATTAAAATCATCTTCGAATAATATAACCTAGTTATATCATTTAATAAATATTTATTAAGCCAAATATAACGTAAGTATATATGACTGAGAAAACCAAATTATATGTTTACACATAAATATTATTCTTGCTATGTAAAGAGGGAAGCAGAACTGAGTTGACCCACGTGACTCGTGAGTCAACTCGGCCGACTTGGCGCGGGTTCAGAGTGCTGCGAGTGCCTTTTAACCTATAATTTCTGTTGATTTCCTTGAATTGTATAATTTCGAAACCATGAGTGGTCGTTCGAGCAAAAGAGCTTACACATCTGGGTGTCAGAAACGAAAGCGGAAGATGCTACGAGAATTCAAAGACATTCGAAGAAACTCTCCTCATATTTTCGGCCCAGTGCACAGTGGGGATTTTTCCGATCTAGCACGTCTTTATTCGTAGAGGGCAAACCATAGGTAATATTGTAGCCAGATTGTGCACAGATGTTGGCTGGTGTGTTCTGGTGAGAATTTTACCTGTAAATGTGCATAGTCAACATAGTATAGGGGGTTCAATTGGACCCCCGGCTCAGCCGTTTGGCCCCTGATCAAGCTAGAGCTTCGCGGAAAAATCAAGCGTGCTGCCTATGACGAAATGAGGCCGAATATATCTAATTTCAAAGTTCAAGGCCATTAGTTGACTTTCCAAGTCAGTTTAATGACCCAACTAAAGTTGGGAAATCGAGACCTCTTGAAACTTCGCATAGTTAGGGTGTTACGGGGTATTTTGGGGTGCTGATCACGGATTTCATGCTAATTTTGATCACAGACGATGTCTTTATGCATTTAGGCCAGGTCGGGTCAGGTCAGGTTAGATCAACCATTAGGCGTCCTGCCGGCCATTCATAGTAGGTGTCACCTACTACTGATAGCTTCGTAACATGGTACGAAGGCACC